GTGGGGGGGGGGGGGGGGGGGGGGGGGGGGGGGGGGGGGGGGGGGGGGGGGGGGGGGGGGGTAGCAGCCGGCAACCGACGAGAGAGAGAGAGAGAGAGAGAGAGAGAGAGAGAGAGAGAGAGAGAGAGAGGGGTAGTAGCCGGCAACTGACGACAGACTGGGAAAGCAAGGGTGCGGAAACGTGTTTACGAGTCGATAAGGCATTGTGCAGGCGTGCGCGAGCTGGGGAGCGGGGCGGGTTTCAAGCTGCAGAAGTGGATCAGTCACTCGCCGTCTGCCCGCCCGGCCGCCCGCTGGTGTACTCCTTGCTTGAATCAGAGCCTCGTCACACCACTCTCGAATTGCGAAAATGACGAAAATGTGGCGGGTGCATCTGGGCATATTCTAGCGGGAAGTTAATTCTCATTTTGCACATTTTCCGACTGGTGTGGCGATTTCCTGCCCTCAGTCGTCTGGAAATTCCCCGAAATAGTAATGGTAGCATGATCTTCTTCCCGCCAACCCTCTTCTTCCTTTTTCCCAAGATCCTCGCCGCGCTTTTTACCATCTCTTCTTTTGGAATATTCCATATATTCCATATTCTGGTTGTCTCTTCACTTGAAATTCTACCTACGGTAGTTCTTGTTTACTGCCGGCTCGAGCTTCTTTGATCCTGTTGCTCCCTCTCTTGTCTTCCTGTTTATAACCGCGGCACGCGCCCATCACACCGTAGAATAACTGATTATTTATTTGTTCGCGCCCACCACACCGTAGAATAACTGATTATTTATTTATGCGCGTCCATCACACCGTAGAATAACTGATTATTTATTTATGCGCGCCCATCACGCCGTCGAATAACTGATTATTATTTATGTGTGTAGTTATTACGGGTATCTTTTTTTTGTATTGCTGACGAGTGATTACGCGCGCACCACCTCCGTCGAGCGACTGCAAATTAAACACCCTTCACTACCCCATTTCAGACATTTCAATGCTGCGCCGCCGCCAACGGTTGGACAAATTACGCAAGACATCACCACTCTAAGTGCTTGAGGGCTCGAGGGGTGAGCGCGCTATTACGAGCGCCGCAAGTACTACTGGTAGTAATATGATGAGGTATACCAGTTATTATTAAATACATGAATACATATGCATAACATCGTATCCTGTAATATATACTATTTCTATATACCAATCGAATGCCTGCAGTCTTGATCTGAGAAGTACAGGATCCCCTATGCCACGAGTCTCCCGCCAAAATTTCAATTTCAGGAGTCTCTCTGTTTTTCCGACGGCACTCCCCACTCCTTCTAAAGACGTCGCTATGAAAAGAAATAAAATCCAGGTCGGATGCTCATACGGTGAATGGCTCCAGATTTAATTTGATTTTTTTTTAATTTTTATTTATTTATTTATTTATTTTTGATGCACCAGAGAGTTTAGGGCAGTCCAGATTCGATGAAATGATTTGTCGACGCACTCGAGATTGGGAAGTTGTTATGTTATGTATCCTTTAACTTACAAAATTGAAAATTTGTCCATGGGAAGCGACCAAGCTACGGGTCGATTTTGGCAGTCCGAGAGCATCCCGCCATTATGTCCAGGCGCGATGGGCGCACGTGGAGCGCACCAGAGCGGAGGCGAAAGAGCGGGAAAGGGAGAGCTGGGTACATATGTACCCCCCATTCTGCTTAATTTGGGGGACGTAACGGCCGTCGGGGGGATGGGAGTCGGCCACGTCGACGTCGGGATCCGTCGGCGCGTCCCGTCGTCAGGTTCCTGGGCTGCTGTCGAGAATGTGGTGAGGAGAAAATGCGGGTGGGTAATTTGGCGGGTGCTGATTTTTTTGTCGTTCGTGTATCTGACCCAATGTTCAACTGGATGGAGTGCGATCGTACACGTGGCAGCGGAGGATGAGCTGGTGTCCACGTCACGCGCGTCGGCGAAGAAGTCGGATGACGTGGCGGAGCCCAGCCATGATGCAGCCACGGTGGGTGCATGTACAGGGGGCGCTGCTTTGTCAAGCTCCTGTACGACAGACCGGTCGAAAGCAACGGACAAGACGTGTGTGGACGTGGGCGCGGATGGGACCCGTCTCGATCGGGAAGGTCGACCGATTGGTTGTGCCCACAGCACGGACAGAGACGGTGCGGAAGACGGATCCCGCCCTCCTACCGACTTGATTGCTGACATTGGCGACATCTTGCACGACGGATACGACGCCCTCCACGGTGGCCTTCGGACAGTGCGACAATGGGGTGCCGTAAGCTCGCTTTCTCTTCCCTTTTTCCCTTTTGTTATTCTGTCTGTGTGTGTGTGTGTGTGTGTGTGTGTGTGTGTGTGTGTGTGTGTGTGTGTGCATTTTGTCATGTTCGCTATGCACAAGTCCACAAACAAGCATTCCCTTTTCTCTTTTGTTATTCTTGCCTGTCACGCACGTGTGTATTTTGTCCTGTTTGTTATGCACAAGTCCACAAACAAGCCTTCCCTTTTCGCTTTTGTTATTCTTGCCTCTGTGTGTGTGTGTTTGCCGTCGTTTTTTTTTTTTTTTTTTTTGTGTGTGTGTGTGTGTGCCGTAGTTCAAAAGTCTCATGGGTTTTACCGTGTGTGTGGTGGGAAGTGCATGGAAGTTGTTGCTGATGGTGAGCGGCATCATGCGTAGCAAAGGGAAAAAGAAAACGAGGCAGGCTGTGTCGGGACGTAGGAAAACGGCGATGTGGTTGAAAAAAGCGCCACTGTCGTTGAGCCCAGAGCGGAAAGGAGCAAATAGGATTGAGTACAGTTACTATCCTATGCGGGCAGGCTTTATTGCTGTATTATTTTTGTTATTATCACTCTTATTAAAGTTATTATTATTTTATTGTTTCGGTTTGACTCTTTATAGTTTCTCTTAAAATTGAGCCTCTCCGAACATCTTTTTTGAGCCATTGATTGGTGCCACGTGTGTTTTGCAGATTCTTGGATCCATGGCTTCTTCGTCTTCTTCTTCCTCCTCTCATGGAGACTACATCTTGCACGGCGACTTGGTTGTTGAAATTGAAGAAGCGAGGGGAATGAAGGCCAGAAATATGAGCTCTGGGTCCCTTCTTGATGGGGTATGTGAATCATAATGCCACTCTTGCCAGCCCTTTCCCAAACACACCTACCAACTTGGGGGAATTATTACTAGTAATGAGAACCTGAAAAGTCGTTGGCTTCAGTTCGTGTGACTAAAATAAAATTAATGTTTTTTTTTTTTTCTTTTTTTTTTTTTTGTGAACAACCCGACCGGATGCTAGGTGTGCTGATAATGTTATTTGATACGCAGTGGCTTCCTAGGGGCTCGGGCTTTGAAAATCACCAAGAAAAACAAAAAAATTCTTCACAAGTTCCGACTAAATATGCGTGAAACTGTCCTTCGGGACATCCATTAAAATTGGAACGATACAGGGAAGGAAGATTAGCATGGCCCCTGCGCGCAAGGACGACACGTATAAATCGAGAAATGGTCCAACAAAAAAAGTAAAAAAATGCGAAACTGAACTAAACGACTCCACTAAACATGTACAAGCTCAACTACCGGCTGTCCCGCCCTCCCTATAGCGAATCGGCCGTGCATTGAGGCGTTGAGCCTCCGACGCGATTCGACTGGAGGCACTAAACAAATAGGAAGGGGACTCGTAGGGGAGGGGAACAAGCGAGCGGGCCGGCAGCTTCAGGGATGGGAACAACAAGGGGAGTGTGTGTGTGTGTGTGTGTGTGTGTGTGTGTGTGAGAGAGAGAGAGAGAGAGAGAGAGAGAGAGAGAGAGAGAGAGAGAGAGTATAGCGCATCCAGATGTCTTCTTCTTCTTCTTCATGATGTTTTTCTTTTTTTGTTCATCTGTGTGTGCGCTCGGAGCAGCTTGAACCCTGGATCGGTTGGCGACCAGTGCATTTTTCAGGCGCCACAACACGTTTTCCAGGCCTCGGGCCTTTTCTCGCGTATTTCTGGTACTCGGTTAGTTTTCTTATTTGTCTGTTGGCCCAACCAATTCAATTGCCTGTTGAATCTGGACAGGACGGCCTTTCTTTTTTATTGTCATTTAGTATTACGGGGAACCCCGTAGCAGCCACATCCGTGATCAAGCCTCCAACGAGGGAACACGCCGGAGCTGCACCCACCTGGGGCAAGGTCCCACTTGCACGGATTAGGAGATTACGGCTGTTGATCTTCGCTATCGACGGTCGATATGGCATAATTCGTGCAAGTGGGACCTAGCCCCAGCAGGTGCGATACCTGCTACAGCAGGTGGGGGCGATACCGGCCAGGGGTCAGCCGGTAGCATCAGGACCGAGCTTCTTCCATGGGCCAGTCACTGTGCCTCCTCCCCTCCGGTCCCCTCCCCATATGAACATCAGAAGCCTCTGCTCAATGCCACTGGGGGGGACCAACGCCATATTATCTCTAGGTGGCGGGCGCCAAGCTTGCCCAGGAAGGTACATGAGGAATGGGGATTGAACCCAAGACCTATGAGGAATGGGGATTGAACCCAAGACCTCCTGAACTGAATGCCGCTTGCGTGCCTTACCAACTGAGCTAGACACCACTGTTTTGCTCTCTTCCTTTTTTTTTTGTCTTTTTGGCAGCACCATTTCTTCTTAGGTCTGTTCAGAGTCTTCAGACCCCATCCTCACACCCAGGGGCATGCTTCTACGGTCCGGACAACCGGGGACAAGGTCCCACTTGCACGGATTAGGAGATTTTGGCCGTCGATCTCGGCCATCTACGGTCTCTATCTTTTAATTCGTGCAAGTGGGACCTAGCCCCGGTTCGCGGGGTGCACCAGGCTGAGGACAAAGAAACGTCGTCGTAAGGAGGCTGGTGGTACCATATGGGACTGACGAAAAAATGCCCCTCCCTCCTCGCCAGGCCAACCCACTCTCCAACCCCGAAAATCGGGGTTGCACTCTCCAACCCCCAAAAATCGGGGTTATATACAAACGTGTCGGAACAAATGGGCTGCAAGGGGTACTAGAGGTGGATCACACTTAACCAACAGGTGGATCCTTGCCTGAACTATTGTTGTTGTCCTTGATGCATCCCCAAACTGCTGGTCTTCTGGACTAGCTTTTGCTTCTGCACCCATAAAAGCGCCGCAGACAGTTTCATTTAGTTTGATTCTTTTGCTGACTGTTTCATTTAGTTCGATTCTTTTGCTGACAGTTTCATTTAGTTTGATTTTTTTCTTTTTTCTTTTTTCTTTTTTATAGTGACCATTTCTCGATTTATGCGTGTCATCCTTGCGCAGGGGCCATTTCCTTCTCTGTATCGTTCCAATTTTAACGGATGTCCGAAAGGACAGTTCGATTCTTTTGCTGACAGTTTCATTTAGTTTGATTATTTTGCTGACAGTTACATTTAGTTTGATTCTTTTGCTGCGTCCATCTGCTTGTTGTTGCTGCGCTTGGTGCTTGTATGACATGCAGGTGAAGACAACCCTGAACAGCTACATAGGAGGGGTAGGGAAAGAAGTGGAGCTCTATGCTTCTATCTGCATTGGGCAGGTTGTTTTGGGCCAGACCAAATCTCGCAAGAACACATCCGAACCTCGATGGGACGAGGAGTTCCATATCTACCTTGCCCACTCAGGAAGTCGTCTAAGGATTGAGATTCGTAACAAGTTGGTAGTAGACAATGTGGTTCTTGCTCAGGTCGACTTGCCAGCTGATGAGCTGCTGTCTGGGCATCATTTCGATGGCTGGCATGACATGACAGATGCATCAGGCCAAACGCTTCCTGGCGCCCATATCAAATTCAGTGTAGCGTTCAAACCAGCTCTGAAAAGAAGCACGAGGAAGGAATGGATGGCCCGATTTCGTGGACCGGAGACTGAAGTGCAAGAGGCCTTCTTTAAGCAGCGCAAAGGCTGCCGTGTGACTCTTTATCAGGATGCTCATGTGGAAGAAGGGCGATTGCCCGCGATCCCTCTCTCCGGCTCTCGGGTTTATCGTCAAGAACGGGCTTGGGAAGATCTTTATAAGGCCATTTTGGATGCCAAGCATCTCATATATATCACTGGCTGGTCAGTTTACACAGAGATCCGATTGATCAGGGACGAGAAGCGAGGGATCCACGAAGGTTCAGGGCATGTTCGGCTAGGGGAATTGTTGAAACGGAAGGCAGCTGAAGGGGTTCGTGTTCTGTTGCTTGTCTGGGATGACCGAACATCCTCCTCGATTGTTACTAAAGGAGTAATGAGCACTCATGACGAGGAGACGATGGAATACTTCAAGAACACGAAAGTGCGGTGTGTGCTTGCGCCCCGTTCAACAGACTTGGTGAAATCCGCTTCAAAGTCTATGATGTTTTCACACCACCAAAAGGCAATAGTTGTTGATGCTGCCCCAGTGGAGCACCCGACGAAAGGGAAGAAATGGAAATGGGGACGTGATGATGAAGGGAGCAGAGAAGGGGACAGGAGATTGGTTGCCTTTGTTGGAGGTTTGGATGTGACAGATGGTCGATTTGACACTCCGAGTCATTATATCTTTTCCACCTTGCGAACGTGGCACAAGGATGATTTCTACCAACCAAGCGTTGCAGGGTCGGCTTCCCTCGACAAGGGAGGGCCAAGACAACCTTGGCACGACATACATGCAAAACTTGAAGGTCCGATTGCATGGGATGTCCTAGAGAACTTCCAGCAAAGGTGGAGGAAACAAGCTTCCCTTTACAACACTGATCTCCTTCCCATTGGCACACCAGGGAGTGTCATACCTGGGGCCCGACCTGTGACCTCAGATGACGATCCTGACACCTGGCAGGTGCAGGTATGTATGCCACTGTTTTTTTTTGGTTTGTTTGTTTGGCCCCGACCTGCAACCATCATTGGAAACTGAATGATACAAACAACAAATGACTTAGCTTGTTTGCTGCTCGATGTGGATGAAGATTGTTCCCATCTGACAAGCATTGTTCCCATCTGACAAGCATGATTTGACTGCCATTCTCTCGCTGCCTCCTCTGTGTGCGTGTGTGTGTGTGTGTGTGTGTGTGCGCATGCGTCTGACTGTCTGTCTGTCTGTCTGTTTGTCTCCTGCTCTCTCTCTCTCCCTCCCTCTCTCTCTCTCTCTGTGTGTGCCTAGCTGGCTGGCTGGCTGGTTGTCCAGTTGTTTGCCTGTCTGGCTGTGTGGTTGCATGTCTGTCTGTCTGTCTGTCTGTCTGTCTGTCTTTCTCTCTATCGGTCTGTCTGTCCGTCCGTCCGTCCATCCATCCGTCCATCCGTCCGTCTGTCTGTCCCTACGTCGCCTCCGTCCGTCCGTCTCTGCCTGTCTGTCCGTCCATCCGTCACGTCTGTGCGTCGGTCCGTCCATCCGCCGTGTCTGTCTGTCCGTCTGGGGCCCGTTGCATCCGTCCGTCCATCCGCTGTGTCCGTCTGTCCGGCCGGGGTCCGTTGCATCCGTCCGTCCGTCCGTCTCTGCCTGTCTCTCTGCCTATGTATGTATGTATGTATGTATGTCTTTATGTATGTATGTGCGTGCGTACGTACGTACGTACGTGCGTATGTATGTATGTATGTATGTATGTATGTATGTATGTATGTATGTACGCACGTAGGTAGGTATGTAGGTAGGTATGTTTGTTTGTCTTTCTATCTGTCCATATGTCCATTGTATGCCCGTTTTGCCTGCCCACCCGCCCTCCCATCCACCTGTTCATCCGTAGTAGTGCTATCTGTCTGTCTCTCTGTCTTCTGCTCAGTTGTATAATCGCTTGGTCCTTCAATCAATTGTCCCATCATCCATAGACGCATCCATCTTTTGATCTATTGGTCGATCTGTCAGCCATCCATAGTTAGATCAGTTGGGTGGCCTGCTGATTGTTTGATACGTCTATTGGTTGGTTTCTCCATTGGTCAGGTGGTCTGTCTATTGGTTGTTTGTGTGCTCGTCATCCAACGGCTCGTCCATCTGTCAATCAGTTGGTCGGTCCGTCCATGTGCCCCTCTCTCAGTCCATTAGTTTGCCCGCCTCCACCCCTACCCACTTGCACACCATCTGTCTGTCTCCTTATTATTCTCTTCAGTATCCTTACCATTGTGCCCCATGCTCACTCCATTAGTTTGCCCGCCTCCACCCCTACCCACTTGCACACCACCTGTCTGTCTCCTTGTTATTCTCTTCAGTATCTTTACCATCATTATCATTGTCACCACTCCTGCTTTTTATTCTTTTGCTCGGCAGTTCCTCTAGTTCTCTCTTTCTCATCATCATCATCATCATCATCATCATCATCATCATCATCATCGTCGTCATCATCATCATCATCATCATCAGCATCAGCATCAGCATCATCATCGGCATCAACAGCAGCATCATCATCAGCATCATCATCAGCAGCACTGCTTCTTCTTGTTTTTCTTTCTTGATAGCGGCTGCATTTCTCTAATGCTTGACCCAGAATTTCAGACTTCTCCTTCCCTCACAACGTTCACTGTCATCATTAGCGTTCGTGAAACAGGCGCAGTACTTCCCTCTACACCATCTATCCTCTGTATGAAACAACAGTATGTCCTTGCTCTTCTCATGAAGTTTTTTTTCAGAATGACTCGCCAGATTACAAACCCTCTGAGAAGGCGCTTTACCAATCCATCCTGAAAGCTGAACGTGGTTCATGGGTGGCTTTTTGGATGGGTGCACCTAAACCAGCTTCCGTGTGTTGCGATTTAAGGATCTCATCTAAGAGAGAGCATGAGGAGACAATGGTCACTCACTGCCTCTGAGTTGGCACATTCTTATTGGGCCGCCTTTGCCCTCACTGTGGTCACGTTTGGGAATATCCTACGTACCCAGCAGGCACAACCAACAGGGATGCCCTTGCCCTCCTGCTGCTTGCATCTACCCGCTAATCAGACGAAGGAACTGGCAGGATTGAAACTTGTTGAATTTTGCAGGCAAGGATTGCCTGACTGGGCCTTCTTCTTGCACTGTTGAGAAGGTTCCGCATGCAAAATTCACCCTGTCTGGGACATTGATGAAACATTTCCAGATCCTGGACAGGTTTGCAGTGGCCAAAGGCGGTCCCCGGCTGGACTACCTCACTGCATATCGAGCAAATGACCACAAGTAATTATGGGTTGCTTATCTTATCCATGGCTTTACCTTCGTTCAGTGGATGTTCCGTATGTCATTTCGTCTGCAAGAGGAGGTAAGACCCTCAACTCAGTGTTCTTCTTGGGCATCCCCTTCTCTACGTGTATGTGGTGTATGTGTGTGCTGCAGCTCTCATCGACTACACACCTGTGTATGCCGGTATGTGTGTGTATGTGTGTATCTGTGGAAGGGGGTGAAAGGGGAGCACAGGGGGCGGTGGGGGGCAATTTAGACACTCACTGCTGGGCTTATCCTGAGCTTATCCTGGGCTCACTTTCACTGTTTCTTTTGAGTTTTGACCAGTTGTTTGTGTAACTCTGTGCTACGTTGCGTGAATTGCTTTGCACCATTTCGACTTTACACTGTCTTTACAGTATACCAACTCGGACATGGTAGCTTTTGACTTCAGGGAATTGCAAGGTACAGCAATTAAGCTTAACTTACTGTGTGAGTTTGTACCTACTTGTGGTGTGTGTGCAGCTGTTCCGGTCTATCGATACTGAGTCGGTGTATGGGTTCCCCGAAAGTCCAAGGGAGGCGGTGAGGATGGGTTTGGTGAGCTGGAAGGATGACATCATTGACCGCAGCATTCAAAATGCATACATCGAAGCTATTCGAAATGCAGAGCGCTTCATCTACATTGAGAACCAGTATTTCATGGGAAGTTCTCATATGTGGGCAGAGTCGCAGGGGGCGGGAGCATACCACACCGTAGCTGTGGAAATAGCACTGAAGATAGCTAGCAAAATTAGAGATGGTGAGCCATTTGGAGCTTATATCCTTGTGCCTATGTATCCTGAGGGAGATCCACATCTCACCCCCTCCTCACCCCTTCAAGAAATGCTGCGGTGGCAGTACAACACCATGACGATGATGTATAAGATAGTGGCAGATGCTCTGAGAACAACAGAGCGCTACGATCAGCACCCCACGGATTACCTCAACTTCTTTTGCATCGGTGCCCGAGAGTCTGTGAAGAGTGCTGATGTTGAGCATATCCCGTCGACGCCCATCTCCGATGCCGAGGTCATGTACAAGGAGGCGCAGAAGAATCGCCGGATGATGATCTACGTTCATTCCAAGATGATGATTGTCGACGATGACTACATCATAGTTGGATCGGCAAATATCAATCAGCGTTCCATGGATGGAGGGCGCGACAGCGAGATTGCTTTTGGAGCCATGCAACCTCATCACGTGCTCGTAGACGCAGACGAAACGAAGAAGCCCAAGAAGGATACTGAAGACCCCAAGTTGAAGGCTCCGAAAGGTGCAGTTCACGGTTTCCGAATGAGCCTTTGGGCCGAACACTTGGGCTCAGTGGATAAGGAGTTCTCAGCCCCATGGACTTCCAAGTGTGTACGCAAGGTGCGGGAGATGGCAGAGCGAAACTGGCAGCTGTATGTGCAACCTGAGCCTGTGGATATGGTGGCACACCTGATGCCTTATCCGCTTCAGGTCGACAAGAGCGGACGTGTCTCTGCCAGGCCTGGATTTGAGTTCTTTCCAGATTCCAAGGCAAAAGTCACCGGGACAGTGTTGATGCAGTTCCCTGACCTTCTAACAACCTGAGGAGTCCGGGGAAGGCAGAGGTATGTATGTCAAGCCGCAGGGTATTTAATATTTATGTCAAGCCACAGAAAAGTCCCCATGGATCATTTGAATAATGAATAGAAGAAAGGAAAGGAAGGATGAAAAAGCAAGTGAGGGAAATAAGGAAAGGAAGGAAAGGGAAACGAAAGGAATAAAAGCAGTACGAAGGAGAGGGATGGAGAGAGAGTGGGGGGGGGGGGGGGGGGGGGGGGGGGGGGGGGGGGGGGGGGGGGGGGGGGGGGGAGGAGAGTGAGAGAGGAGGACGAGGGAGAGGGAAAGGACTGATCTTGCCTGAAGTTACTGGCAATCATCAGCTTTATGTGCTCCATCTGCCTCATGGGATTTTGGATGGATAGGAATAACAAACACAACACGATTGCAAAACATGTGTAAGACAGATATTAGGATTGCCAGACTTCTCTTCTGAAAAAAAATTGTAAAAATAATAAAAATTACTAAATCAGAGACCAACAAATTTCACAAAGTGAATAAGGCAGGTAAATGAAGAAAATGGTAAGAAAAGGAAAAAGAAGATATGGAAATGGAAAGCAAAACCGGACGAAATGGAAATGGGAAATGAACAAAGGGAAACTCATGAAAATTGACAAGAAAAGTTAACCAAATGAGGTAAATAGAAGAAAAAAGAAATGATATATTGTGAAGTTAGAAAACGGAAAAGGAGGGTAAGCAAACGGGATGTTAAAAAAAAAAAAAAAAAAAAAGGTCAATTGGGAAATGATTCAAATGAAGATTACAAGAACATTACGTAACACCCATTCCGTTTTGTTCCCTATATGTCACCCTCTTTCTGACTGTGTAAGGTCCTTGTATTGGGGAAAAGGTCCTCACCACGCATTGCGAAAACCACCTCTCCACGCTGGGCCCGCTTCCCAGCAGGTGCAGCTCCCCACCAATACATGGAGCCTCCCCAAGGCCAGCTTGATGTGTCTGCTCCTACCAGCACCTCAAGCTGTCTCCAGGGCTGTTACACCAACAAATAAATAAATAAACAAATAGATAAATAAATAAATAAATAAATAAATACATGAATAAATAAATAAATAAATAGATAAATAAATAAATAAATGAATAAATAAATAAATCAGAGTGGTCAGAAAAGCGTTCCTGTGAGTACTCTCCGGAGTCTCCAGTGCCGAGAGTACTCCGGCTTGCTGCAGCCCTGGTTTGGAGAGTGCTCAGCTTTTCTCTAGGTGTGGAAAGTTGAACATTCGCGATTAGGCCTGAGGTCAGGATGGACAACGGTTTGCCGGTTCTTTTGGTGTCTTCTGTTCTTTTTTTTTTCTTTCCCACCACGTTTTGAAAGTACGCCATTCGAGAGTGCTGTGTTCAAAGCAGCCAAAGCTGACGAATTTGGTACCTCTCGAATTTAGGGAGCACTCGATAATTTTTTCTCGTTCTCGAGAGTGGTGTGGCGAGGCCGTAATGGTTTAACTTGGATACATTTGTGGATGCCTATGTGCAGTTCCCAGCATGTCTGTAGATTAGATTGCAACGTGTCTGTATGAGTCGATGCCTGTGTCAATGTCATTCTCTGATGTCGTTGTCTATGACTATGCTCAATTCCATGCACATGTCGATGTGTGCATCACTGTATCTCTACGTCAATGTCATTCTCTATATGTAGGTGCAATTCCATGTATACCTAGGCTACCTGAGTGGCACAGGACCACTTGCCCGGGCAGGCCAAAAAAAAAAATAATAATAATAAAAATAAAATATTAAAAAATTGATTTGGTAAAATTGGTAAAGTTTTTTTTTTTTTTTTTTTTTTTTTTGG